TTTTGACTTTCCCCCTCTGTCTGCCCTCCTCCTCCTCTTTTGTTTCCTCTGATCCTCTTGAGTGCTGCTGCAGACACACTATAAGAAAGAAGAGAGTGAAAGAAAGAATGAACAAAGGGCATTACTACAATGAAATGGATGGAGAAGCGTGCAGAAAAAAAAAACCCCAATGAGCACATTCCCAATTCTGTGCCAGGCACTCAGACGAGACTAAAGTCAATTATGCCCCGGCTTAGCCCATTCTGCAACCCGATTCAATTATTTAAATGAAAAATTTGCAATGAAACCTATGAGAGAATTAAAAAGCAGAATTTGGACCGCAATTGACTGTGGTTTATTGCTTTAAACAGCTGAATATTGACAATGAACCAAACGCAGACAAGTGCGTTTTTTCCAATGAGTGAGCAATGCTGAAGGAATGATGACGGCTTATCTGTGTTTCTTTCGAAATCTGTTAGTGTGAATGTGTGTATATGTGGGTTGAATCACATGCACAAGGAACTTTGATTGGACATGGCCTATTTTTTTCTAACAGTGGGTGTTGTAAACAGCAAAGAACAACAGAGAAGCCTTCAGACACAGGCTGGATCTAGGCTACACCAAAGTGAGCCTAATAAAGCTTAGAGTAACTGATAGGAGGTAGAATTAGAGATGTCAAAAGCGCAGGAAACCAAGTCAATACTAAACAAAAAAAATGATCAGACTCAATTTGGTACCAGACTCTTTGTGGTCAAGCCATCTGTGAGAAAAAAATCGGTGTGCTGCTGCTACGAAAATTACAGTAATCTCCAGCAAGAACAACAGAATGGCCTGATTTAACCTAGAAAGACAGTGGTTTATTACAGATGAACAACATGATGAGGGTAAACGACAGACATGTTTCATTAGTGCTAACGTCACAGACGAAGAGTCCCTGAAGTGCCTTAAACACACTTAAACCCTCATGCTCACTCTCTCCATGCATCAGTGGAAGAGCATGTATCCGTATCTGCGGACTTACACACCTGTCTCTCTTCTCTCAGAGCGATCATTGTGTTAATAAGATGAGCTCACATAACGCAGCTCCCCTAAATCTGTGACAGCGATCTCACTAAAATACTAGCGTACTGAATACAGTGCAGTATACACTGTATGTTGCCTAATATTCTTTCAAATAAGCAAATGAAACAGACATTATTTCATGATAATTTTTTTTAATTATATGTATGCTACAATGTTATCATGTGACCACCGTGTTGCATGTGAAATTGTGAATGCCATCCAGTAACCATATTATCATCAAAAATGACTTTGCTCCTCCTCTGAGTATTTAGTAAGTATATAATAATAATTTAAAGAAACTTCACAATTTAAAGTGCATTTCCACAATGACAAACAACAATTCTTATATGCATGCATTCACACATACATTAATACACTACATTATTTAATTAATAAAAATAATTGTACTACTACATCCACTTATATGTTATTTATCTGTATAGTATTAGTATGGTATTCTGAATATAATCTGTGTTTTCCGCCATCATCCCATCACAATGGGATGTCTGATGTTTTTTCTGATGTCTTTCACATAATGGTTGCCCGTGCCGTTGGATTATTTCGGGGGTTCAGTGTCAGGGGTCAAAGGGATTTGGATGTGGGTAAAGAGGTGGGCTTGAAACTTCATGATTCATTTCACTGCCGTCCCAATGTATGTTCTCATTCAGTACTTTAGTGAGTGTATGTTGCCAGCCTTTTGTAGACTCACCAATGAGAAGCAGATGTGTGTAGTTGCGTTTCTGAATTCTGATCTCTCTCTTTCGCTTTCCTTCTCCATCACACCCGCATAGAGTACATGCACTTACAGGTTCATGGCCAAAAGGCATGTCATTCTTTTTTTTCTCCAGTCAATCTGCATGATATGATCCATGCATGCAGACAAAATACACACAAAAACTCATGCTTTTATAAATAAACTGCACAAAGTCTAAATGGGGTTTTCCATAAACTCAGCGTTGAGGTATTTAGGAGCAAGCGAGCCAGAAAAAAGCCTCTGTGAACAACAAAGGCTGTCCGTAATCAGAGCTTTGAGGTGTAAGTTGTCCAAAACATTCTGAATTTTGTTCAAAACTTGGGAAGCGTGACGTGCCAGAAACCGAATGTTCCTAAAAATATTTTCCAGAAGAAAGCGGAGGGCTGTTTCAGTAATCTGTCCCGCAGCTAGAGTCGGTCCGCTCCTGGCGCACAATGCTGTTCCAACACAGTGAAAAACCCACCGAAAGAACTGGCAAAAACTGCAGTTACCACTCATTAAACACACAAACCGCAACCACACAGCGCTGATCGACAGATGAAAGAAACGTCAGGGTCGGAAGTTAAAAATGCAGATCCTTTGCTGGCGTTTCCTCGTCCAAGCATCAATCCATCCAAAACCAGAGAGGGGAGGAGGATGAATTGTGCTGAATGCGGGTGAGTATGATGTGATGTTGGGAAAGATCTTCAGGGCTCAGAGATTCGGCTGGGAAAGTTTACGACTGGAAGTAATGAAGAACCCATACACACACACACACACACAAAGAGGGAAAAAGCACTCAAACACTGCCTGGAAGCAACCTCCGAACCACAATCTGACCTTTATGATCAAGAACACACACAGACTTGGACTCCAAACAATTGTAGCCCACCAAACGCTCCTTATAAACACACATATGTATAAAAACACACAACACAGCTTAGGTTCACTCTGGAAGCACTGTTGGAGCCACCACCATCTGTGATCTGAATGCTTTGACAGAGCAGTGGGTGTGAGTGAGGACAAAACGGGCAGGACAGCAGAAGGTAATGTTACAACTGACACTAACACAATTGCCACAATAGCACCAGAGCCGAAACTACTGAGTGCTTGAGCTTCAGACTCTCACATTCTGGGCATTCCAGAGATTCTTCCAAACAGGACTTTGACCTCTACTGAGTGAACTCTGACCTTTTTTAGAGTATACCGTTACCACATTTCCATGTTTGTTTTTTTTACACACAAAGTGATTTAATTTTGTATCTTTCAGAGATGGCTTTCATTTAATTTCAAATTACATTGAGCTATTCTAGTACCACGTGGTTATAATAAAATAATAATGTAGTTTGGTTTTGCATTAAGTTGCTGTTTTGAAAACTACATTATCAATAGTAGTTACTGGGTCAAGATCAGCAGGTCTAAGGGAACAGTGCAGAGACCATTTTTCCAGCTTAACCCTCTGGGGACCAGAAACGCGCCGGCGCGTTTTGCTCGTTTTTTTTCACATAGCAGAAAAATAGACTTAAAGTACTACCATCATTTCTGTTCATATAGAGTTAAGAAATATGAGAAAATAATCTGTTAAATGTCTACTTTTTTATGTGCCCACATACAGTCGAAATAAAATATTGTGCTTTTGTAAAATAAAGAAAATAAACGGTGTGCGTTCTGCCTCTCGGTCACCGTGAACTTTTTTTCTGGAGCACGTCTCTAATCTTCAACACAACTGAGCTAATACTATTCACCCAGCCATAAGCAATATATCTTTTAAATCATTTGAGTTTGTACTTTTAAATGATCCGATTCAAAACTAAAATTATTATTCTCCGTTTATGTCATCTATATAAAAAGAGAGATGTGTCAGCCCGTCTCATTATCGTTCTCTCAGCTGATTATCTCTGGTAATGTGACATGCCCACGGAGAGCACGCGCTATTCAAACGCAAATATGTGAAGCAACACATTGAGACGCGTTAACGCCCATAAACTCTGAAAACACACATTATTTTTTAGCTAGATTAATCTACTGTCGTCTTGCGCGGCTATATGAGGAACAATCCTGGGACATTTACCACTGGGTTTATTTCGAGGATGAACAGATTCAGCTGAGAAGTAAGTGTTTTTTGCAAGTGCTTTGTTCTAATCGCGATATAGAATAACGTAGTGTCTGTAAACGGAAAAATAGCATACTGTTAAATGTGAATCATGTTTGTGTGTGTGTGTGTGTGTGAATGAATGAATGAATGAATGAACGCACAGATACGCACTGTTACAGACTAAATAACAGACAACATTTCGTTGACTCGTTTTGGATAAAGTTTTTACTCTAAAATAGACATCAAATAAGCTTTTTTTAGGAGTTTCTGCTCATATGTTAAATATATAGTATGTTTTGTCAATAAACTAATCAACTAAGATGTTATAGTGTTTGTTCAAGCTATATCAAAATAATGAATCCTCAACTTTGAAATATGTATGATCAAACTAAGACATTTATGGAGAAAGACAATTTTCTTTTCAAGATGTTTCCAACTCTAACTTTGAACTGAAATAAAACCATGTCTATATGGTGAAGGGTGTGTGATAGAAGTGTCCAGACGTATGCACCCTGTATTTTCCTTATATAAATCCAAACAATCTAAAAGCCATTCTTTTTTAAATCTCCTCATTAGTTGTGCAAGGCTTCTGTAATGATATGGCCTGATAGCACCTAATAGGGCCATTATGGGGAGGGTCTTTGTCTTTCTCAGGTGTGGAATGCCACACATATTAATGAGAGATCAAGCCTCCTGCATAAAGCGTTCTCAAACAAAACACGTCATTAAAAATGTAAAAGACTTTATTGACTTATCTGAATGAGTAGTCAGGATGATTCTCACATAGTTTTGGAGCAAATATTCTAGGCTATGTGATACAATTTTCAAAAGTCTTGTGAATAAATAATCAATATGTGTTTTGTGGTCTTATTTCAGCAACTTTCATTTTTATTTTTTTCAATAGCCACGCATAAACATTATTCTATTAAAAATACAAACATGTACATACATGTAGGGGTGTGCCGGTTTCAGAATTGGTGATGACGGTTATGACGTGAGTCAAATGTGACGGTTCGTAACATAACCGTCGGGGGGGGGGGGGGTGAGAGTGAGGAGTCACGTGCCGATTTGGGCGGGGTCTGAGCCGGTCGGCCATGATGGTAGGAGACGCTATCGGTTGCCAGGGGCAACGCATTCAGAACTTTAGAGTCGCGACTAAACATTCCAGAAATAGCGAAAGAGAGACAGCGCAGCT